GGCATCAGTGAGGGGCGGGCCTAAGGCCCGGGCCCCGCCCCTTTCCTCTCGACACCTGCCCGCCCCACCCGGCGACCCCGCCGCCCCGCGACCCGCCGCCCCGCCCGCACGCGCGGCCCTGCTTTCACCTTGAAGTTGACGGGTTCCAGCGCGCAGGACGTAGGCGTGCGCTCGCTTCAGCTTGGACAGGCGGGCGCCGGATGTTGTCGGATGTTTTCTTTCGCTGCGTCGAGCCACGGCGGCCACCACCTTGGAGGCCGTGCGCGTGCAGCTGCGCGACCCGGGTGCAAGGCGAACGGCGGAGTAGGCTTTGTGCGGGTAGCTGAGGAAGAGCCTGGGAGCGCGGGCGGGGGGCTCGTGAGCTTTCCAGCACGCTTCCCACCGCCACGCCCCCCGCGCCCTGCGGCCCTCTCCGGGCACCCAGGACACATCTGCGACCCCTTCAGGCAGCCGCGCCCTCCACCTACAGCACGCCTGGTGCCCCCAGCCCCTCCACCGTCTCCTGTGGCCACAGGACCTCCCTCCCAGCCCCAGACTGGGTTGCCCGCCACCCCTTCTGCAGGCTCATGACCTCCCAGCAGCGTTCCAGGGAAGGAAAAGCTCCCTGGCCCCTCCCAGGGGATCAGATGCTGGGACTTTGATACTGGGACAGTGGCCTGATCCCAGATGCTGGGATCAGATGCTGAGACTTTAGAGGCTGTAGTGCCCTGGCTGCCCTGTAAGGCCCTTCAGGTCTAGAGCAAAATTTTTCACCCTCTGCTTGTCAGAACCTGGGCCTGTGCCTGCTCAGGTCTCAGTGAGCCCAGATACCTGTGCAACTCCTAATCGTACCCTCCTTACCCTGCCCTCCTCACTGAGAGGGAAGGCTATCTGTCCCCACTGTCCCCTCCCCACTGTCCCCTCCTCACCGTCCCCACCTCACCGCCCCCTCCCCACCGTCCCCTCCCCACCACCCCCTCCCCACCGTCCCCACTCACATACCTGGCCTCCCACCCAGTGCCTCTGGCAGTCCTGCCTGACACTCACCTCTCCAGAGTCTCGGTGCCGATGGTGTCGGCCTGCGTGGAGATCTTGGCCCACATGGACACAATGAGGGTCCTCTCAGTCTTGGTCAGAGACATGGCGGCAGGGTGGGCGGCTGCACTGGAGTTGGGCCTGCTCAGGACTGGCCTTGGTAGTGCTCAGCCCCCAGGTCTCCTTATATCCAGGGAGCTGGGCCCAGCCAGCCTGTGGCTATTGGTCAGGTGAGGGGAGGGGGCTGCCGGGGTGGGGTTTCTTATCAGATCCAGTGACAAAGGGGCCCTCAGGGCCTGGTGCAACTGGGGGCTGGGGAAGCTATCACTTCTGTATCCCCTTCTGCCCACCCTTGAGCCACAGCTGGAGCCCCAGGTTCTGGGAAATTGGGGCCCTGATCTGGGCATGCGAGTCCACGTGGTCAGTTCAGCCCAGACTGGCCTCAGGAGTGACTGTCCTTGACCTCCCTGTCCCTGTGATCGCAGGGTGACCTGGAGCACATGGGCCCTGGCAGAGGCACAAGCCATTCCTCACTTCACTGAAACTTCTCTGTCCCACCTTATGAGTTCCAGTTTGCAAATGGGGAAACCGAGACTCCCTAGAGAGAAAGTGGGACCCAGTGTCACAGAGTGGGAAGGGACAGACCTCTCCAACCTCCGCTGTGCAGCACCCTCACCTGAATGAGGCTTGGTGTGGGGTTCTCCCCCAGTAGCCTTGTGGGGGACACTCTGAGCCGGACACCTAGGCAGGAAAGTGGCTTGGGAGGCCGGCCTCTTCACAGAACGTGAGGTCATACGGGCCTACAGTTCTGCTCACTACGTTCTCATTGCAGCCTGGAGGAGACCCTCCTCCAGCTCTATTGATTTATTTCTTTTTATCCTCTCTGTTTATTAACTACTCCCTCCTCCATTAGACGGCCATTTCGATGTGCTGAATATATTCCTTTTAGTTAGTACGTGTGCTTGCAAAAGGTGTGATTTTATGCATGTATTTTAAATTTATATAAATTATAGGTAGATATAAAAAATTCTTTTGTTTGTTTTTGAGACAGAGTCTCACTCTGTCTTCCAGACTTGAGTGCAGTGGCACAATTTTTACTCACTGCAACCTCTGCCTCCTGGGTTCAAGTGATTCTCCTGCTTCTGTCTCCAGAGTATCTGGGATTACAGGCACGCACCACCACGCCCGGCTAATTTTTGTATTTTTAGTAGAGATAGAGTTTCACCATGTTGGCCAGGCTGGTCTCGAATTCTTGACCTCAGGTGATCTGCCTGTCTCGGCCTCCGAAAGTGCTGGGATTATAAGCGTGAACCACCACGCCCGACCCAAGCACATCTTTTTTAAATAGAGGATTTTTAAAAACAGGGGAAAAAGGCTGGGCGTGGTGGCTTGCCATGGGGCTGCACGTGGTGGCTCCTGGTTGCGATGAGGTTGCACCACTGCACTCCAGGCTGGGTGACAGAGTGAGGTTCTGCTTAAAAAAAAAAGAAAAAAAAAAAAAAAGGAATAGAAAGAGAGAACATACATCTTCACGCACTGATTCTTTTCACTTGCTGCGTCTGCAAGCGTGCCCCCATCCCCGCTGACAGGTGCGATGCAGCTCCCATGCGAATCAGGGGGTTACATCTTCAGCCGGCAGGGCTCCCCTTTGTGAACAAGCTCTAGTTTTTTTTCTATTATAAACAACTCCATGAAGAATATCAGTGCTTTGGATCTTTTCCTCATGATAGACCTCTAGAAGGGGAATTACTAGAAGGAAACTCAAGAGTATTCGTTTTTTTAGCTTTTTGAAACGAATTACTTTTCAAAACAATTATATGGGCTTATAGTTGCAAAATTAGCTGTTTGAGGCTCACTGTGGGTGCCCTTCCTGCCCTGGGGGCTGTCACGGCTGGCCTGGAGTAAGTTGGAAGTTTAGCACTACACACCATGGGGGCAGCTTTCAGACCCCATGCTGCAGAGGTGAGGGGATCCTATAGGAGACTAACACCCTTTGTTTTGAAAACCCTTCCCTGGAGGGAGTCTCCAGGCAGAGTCGGACGGGCGGGGGTGCCAGTGAGGAGGGCATCGAAAGGACTCACAGGACCTTGGGGCCTGCAGTGTACCAGGCCTTGGGGTTGGGTGCGTGGGGCAGAGGGATGCATGTGCTAGGATGTTAGCAACAGTAAATCAGCCTGGGTTAGAACTGGGTCAGGTGGACTCCCCTGAGTCACCTCTTCCCAAGCAGGGGTGCCTTCGGCCCTCAGAAGTCAGGGCAGTGGGCTGCAGGGGCCTGGGCAAGAGGGGCCGGGAGATCCTGGGGGCAGGAGATAAAGCCTGTTCCCCCAGCCCCAAGCCAGGCCCACAGCACTAAGTCTCTTCTCCCTGTAGCTGCAAGTTGTCCCGGCACCTCTCGCAGCCTGTGCCCCACAAGCCGTCCTGGGCCACAGCCTATGCCCAAGCCATTGGCACCACCAGGAGATTCCTTGCACCAACAGCTTTTCACCTTTCTTTCTCCTTCTGGATAGTCTTGTGTCCTGCGTCCACCTCATGCCTGTGCTGTTATTTTCTAATAATGTGGGTGTGGAAGCTCAGCACCCATCCTGCCTTACATTAGCCTCCGTCTGTGTCCTGGTGCTCCCACTGCTGGATGTGCCCATACAGACCTCTCTCTTCTGGACTCAGGCCCCTAGATCCAGGGCAGTATTTGATGTCCTCATCTGTGTGTCTCCAGCAAATCATCTCTAAAATAGAGCCCTGAAATTCCCCACAAAACCTACTCCACTGCCCTTCCCTGGCCTCCCTGACTACTGCCCTTCCTTCCTGAGGCTCAGGCCGGAGAGCACAGCACCCTCGACACTCCCCGACTCACCCCTGAAACTTACAGATGGAGGAAAAGACAGACAAGGCCTCCTGTCCTCCCTCCCTCTATCCCTAGCTGCTGGCCACTCCCCTGAAGCCCCTTCCCTAATACTGCTACTCCCTCAAATGTCACCAAGTTAATAGACCTGCAGTGGCCAACCCATATAAAATCACAATCCTCCCCTCCTCTGTCTAGGCCCCTACTTGCTCTACTTTTCTTTTTCCACAGGAAAAAAAAAAATGTTCCTGTTTATAGTTCACTAGAATGTAAGCTCAAGAGGAGCTTGAGGAATTTTTTTTTTTTTTGACAGAGTTGTGCTCTGTCTCCCAGGCTGGAGTGCAGTGACACGATCTTGACTCACTGCAACCACCACCTCCTGGGTTCAAGCGATTCTCCTGCCTCAGCCTCCCAAGTAGCTGGGATTACAGGCGCATGCTACCATGTCAGGAGTTGGAGACCAGCCTGGCCAACATGGCGAAACCCCGTCTCTACTAAAAATACAAAAATTAGCAGGGCATTGTGGTGCGCCTGTAATCCCAGCTACTCAGGAGTCTGAGGCAGGAGAACCTCTTGAACCCAGGAGGCGGAGGTTGCAGTGAACCAAGATTATGCCACTGCACTCCAGCCTGGGTGACAGAGTGAGATTCCGTCTCAAAAAATAAAAATAAAAAAATATTCAAGAACCTCTATTTTCTTCGTTTAATAACGTCAAAAGACTGCATGCGTAAATTTAACTTCGCGGCCCCCTCATCCTTTGGGAATGGGTACTGGCCGGTATCATTGCTTTTAAAAGGGTCTTCGGCAACTTGTGGCTGCATATTTCGATTAATGGGTTTCTGTCATATTACTGTTTGTGGTGTTCTTCCCTGTGCAGCTAGTGTCTTGTTGATTTTAGGAATACCAGTTGCGAGGATATTTAGAGTGCGATATGGCAATCCCACTCCCAAGCGGCCCGGAGAGACAGAGCCCTGGGGCAGAAAGAGACCAGGCCACGTCGGTAGTATTAACGCTGGAGATTCTGGTGGAGTGTTTCGAAGTTAGATTCTTGTAATCTTATCTTAACAGTTATTGAAATAAATTCACTCACCTGATGTGTACATTCTCATATTTTTTTTTTTTTTTTGAGAGCAGAACCTCCTACTGAATGGCCCAAGCTGGAGGATATCAAGTGGCAACATCCAACAGGACTGCTAGCAACTCGCAATCTAGGCCTCAAGGCTACATTCCCGACTGCCTTCAGCCCTCCAGGTACCTAGGCACCCATGAGGATTAAACAGCATGAGCTGCCACCATGCTGGCAATCAATTTTTGCATTTTTAGTAGAAGACATGGACCGCCGGATAAAACTTCCAGTGGTTAGTCCGGTTACGTCTGTGGACTCTGACCCTCAGGTATCCTGCCCACCGTGGCCTCCAAGTGCGGACTTACAGGCGTGACCACCACCCCGGGCCCATTTCAATAATCTTTTTTCTGCGTTTTCTTTCCTCTACACAGTTTTACTGAGTACACCAGGAACCACGAAGAGCGCACAAAGGCCAGTCTCATCCTCAATTACTTTTTTTTTTTTTTCTGAGACACAGAGTCTGCACTGTTGCCCAGGCTGGAGTGCAGTGGGCATCCTTGGCTTCCTGCCACTCTGCTCCCGGGTTTTACGCCATGCCCTACCTCAGCCTCCAAGTAGCCATGGGGCAACAGGCCACCCGCCACACACCCGCCTATTTTTTTTTTATTTTAAAGTAGAGGCAGGTTTCCAGGTTTCGCCAGGGGGCTCGATTTCCTGACGTCATGATCCGGCCTCCCAAAGTGCTGGGATTACAGGCGTGAGCCACTGTGCCTGGCCCCATTTCCATAATTTTTAATATGTTCACATAATTGTGCAACCATCACCATAATCAATTTTAGAATGTTTTCATCACACCCCAAAAAGCCCCATGCCCACCAGCAGTCATCCTTGTTTCTCCATCTTTGTCTTATTCTTGCAGGATGTTTTTATTTTTTGATAATTTGAATATGTTTCAAAATAAAAGATTATGAAATTATGATATATATGGTATTAGGAACAATAAGCTACAGAGTATTAGAGTGTCTTTGCAGTTCTTTTGGTCATAGCCAAGGTACTGTGTTCAGAAGTCACCTGGAACAATTCTTTTTTCTGATTATTATATCACGACATTCTTACATTGGTTCATTTATTTAAGTTGGTTTTCAATTTGGGGGGTTTTATTTTCTCTCTCTCTCTTTTTTTTTTTTTTTGAGATGGAATCTCACTCTGTCACCCAGGCTGGAGTGCCGTGGCACAATCTCGGCTCACTGAAAGCTCCGCCTCCCGTGCTCATGCCATTCTCCTGCCTCAGTCTCCCCAG